TCTTCGTCTTTGGGACATGCCGTGTCGGTCAAACGACCGACATGTCGTGTCAGCTATATAAAACAAGTAGCTGTAGCTATGCCGAGCGACAGCCTCACGAGAACATTCGTGGTCCACAAGGTGACCTCCACCTTCCCATCCAACATCCGGGGGTCTCAAGATCTGAGTCCGGCGGAAGGAGATCCATCTTCAGATCCAAAGTGATCACTCTGAGGTTTGGCTGTTGGATCACTCTTGAGGATTGAAAACATCCCAGATGAAGCCTTTGGAATGATCACATAGCAGTAAAGGCAGTTGCGGCCAGTCTCAGCTGCTGTTTTTGGCTCTGACCTCTGCAGGTGTGATGGCTGCGCCCCCGCCTCCACCACCGCAGGAGGGCGTCCTGAATACCGAGGTGCCTGCGTGGGGAACAGGTGGTGTAGACTTGGTTGGGATCTATGGTGGCTGTGGGAGTTCATTCATTTAGGTTCCATGCATATCTCAACATCCTGCCATTTTTTTTCTTGCAGAATCATCATGTCAGGCTATTCAGACTGACACCCACAGATGAGTAGATGGTTTCACCTTTCCGTTAGGATGTTGCAACCCACAAGTCCTTGCAGCGACGTCAGGCCGGTCTTGACGCGACGTCGGGACCTCTCAAGCTCTCAGGCTCTTCACCTGAATGATGAGATCGTGGACATGTGCATGTTGCTGGACTACGAAAACAGGCGCCATGATGATCTTTACGCCTTTGCAGCCAGAAGAGATGTCAGTGAGCTTTGCGAAAGAGAATTAAACTACAGTTGTAATGTCGCAACACCTCCTGACTTGAACATAGATTAATTTCGACTCCTTCTTCAACTCTCAAAATATCCTGAACCACCTGGAACTCTCCTAAAACACCGTGGTCATCGTGCCCCATTTCCATAGGGCACAGTGTCTCTTTCTTTCTTCCTTCAAGGAGTTTTATACCAGGATGATTCCTGACCATCCGCATCTATCATTGCCAGGTTCTGTACCAAAGAGCTGAAGCCTATGCCGCGGACGTTCTTCGCGTGAGCCATCGCTGAGAGTGAACGAGGGTAGGCAAAAGTCAGTTGAACCATGAACTAGGGGCGGATGAGAATGGCGTCGAAACTCAAACCCAGACACTCCATGGGACTGGAATGCATGACTACATTGATCCTGTTTCAACCCCCCACTCATCCCTAAACGTGCCAGCACCATGGGTTGTGTCTGGGAAAAGCAGTCCACTTGTGATCCTGCTTCTTTCACAGACCCGCCGATGCCCACGATGTACCTGGTCCCCCGAAAACATCGGTTTCGACGGGTGGTTGCAGGGCGAGAAGCTTGGTGGAAAGCGGTCACCCATGGCTTACTTTCCCCACACTTGCGTAGACGGAAACCACCTACTTGTGGGTTTTAAAGAGATCATTTGGATTCATTTGGTCTCATGCTTCTAGAGGAAATCCTCTGGATCCTCCAATTTCCCCACTAACTGCACGGGTTCTTCGTGACGGAGGAAGATAGCCTCCGCCCTCCGCCATCGAGGTATCCTGCGCCCAACCCTGCGCACCAGTTCAAGTACTTTTCCCAGCCGGGACCCCCAGGATCGCATCAGGACCGTCGCATCCGCCCTGCGTCGCTCCCCCGACCGCGAACGAACCTCCCTTTCCTCCGCGGAAGAACCGCACGCAGCCGGGCTGACTTGGCCGTCTCAGACGACGGCGACCGTTGGGTCCGGTTCGGGTCACCGGTCGACCGTCGCGACGTCGGAGCGGATCGGAGCACCGCCCAGTTCGGGAGAGGCAAACGGATGATGGGATCTGATGGGATCTCAGGACCCATTGGAGTTACCCCCCAGAATTCTAGGCTTCAGGTTTGCTGAGTTGTTATTGTGGAATAACGAGTGCCACCAAAAGGCCACCAGTGAAAATGTTTGGAGCCCAAGTTTTCTTAGGATGTTTCCTGGACTTTTTGGGAAGGGGTGTCCTGTCTGGAGATCCGTGATCCGCAAGGTGCTTTCTACACATCAATCTAGTTGGAAGATTGAAACCTACACCCGGGAAGATTGACATGGTAACTTGAAATGGACCTACGGAAAACTATTTTCCTCTACAACCCGACGTGGTTTTCAGGTTCCATGTGAGTCTCTTCCAGGGTGCAACAACTCTGAGTGGGTTCAGGGCATAGAGATGGACAGAGTCCATGTTGTGCAAGTGGGTATACCGCCCCAGCAGCGATTGGCTTCTTTCATGGTCTGACAGCTTGGGCATGGTGCCAAAGGGGTAATGTGAACGGAGAACATCCATTAGAGGAAACATGCGCAAGGCCTGGGCTCCCCCCCAGCAATCAACTTTTGAACCAACAAGCCTGTGTTCATTGCAGATGGATCAGTCCACTAGGTTGGTAGCCTTTGGGCTGGCCTTCCTGAACATCAAGGCACCGCACGACTGCATGGGGTGCGTGGGGTGCTGGAGAATTGTGCAGAATATAGAACGGCACAAGTTGCCTACCCTCCCATGACCAAAAGATAGCTTGCTCCGCTGGAATGGTTGGATGGGAGGCTGATTGAAACGATCCACTTGAAGAAGGTGATGGTGGATGGCTGGTTGGTTGGTTGGTTGGGACTAATGTAGGGTCTTGATTGGTAATACCCCATCGCAAACGATTGAGAGAGTCTGAAGAATATGACTCCCACTGAAGCAATTCCAAGGAGTCAGGCCTAGTAGCAGCAAGACAACTCAGGCAGCATGAGTAGCTAAAGAGGTAGTGGGCAACGGATAGCTGAGTAGTAAAAAAACTACTCTCAGACATTTTTTCCAGGGCTCCAAACCTTGGCATTGCTCCATCTGCGAAATTAATCATATAATATATGTAATTCAATGCCCGGGTGCTTGTGGACTACCCCGTTAAAAATAGTTTGGGACAATCATTTCGATGAGTTTGTATGCATATTGGTAATTGAACAGGTTTTCCAGTAAGACGTAAGAGTTCCAGGAATCATGCTTAACCTCAGAAGAGGCTAAGCCAGGATCTCAAAGGCAACCGATAGCTGAGTAGTAAAAGACCACCCCACATATTTTTCCAGGGCTCCAAACCTTAGCATTGTTCCATTCCCGTGACATTTCATATGTGTTGTTCCTGAAAGAATAGTCTCAGATTGATTAGTTTGAATATTTTTTTTGGATAAATGTGTTCAGAATGCCAAGAACCAATCTTAAGCTCAGAACAGGTTAGGTAGGGACCTCAAAGGCAACCAATAGCTGAGCAAAACAACAAAGACAAACAATTTAAGTATTTGACTCTGGGAGAAAAGCTTTTTTTAGGTTTTCCATCCCATTGATGAATCAGGAAGCACACATTTGTACGATGTTGAGGTTCCTTTGCCATCATTTCTGCGAAGCGACCTGATTTGAAGCGCCCCCCATGCTGCGACGCTACCAGGCTGATTGGGATGAGTTCGATGACCCCACCACAGTGATGACCAGCATGCAAGTGGCCCTGAGACTTGGGCGAATGGGAGGAGCTGAAGCAGCCGAAACTCAATGGACCCCTCAACAAGCAAGGAAACACCACAGTGGAGTGAGGAAGGATAGCAAAACCCAGTGGTGTCCTGGGTTTCCACAGCTGCTATACTTTGTGGCCAGATTTGCATGTTCATTTTAACAAGTTGCTGGATGAGAGGTTTGGTGCATCCTCATCTCCGGGTCCACGGTCTGACCGGTGCGTTCAACGGGTGTTGAACCACTCGTCCGGTCAACAACCCACGGACCGGTCGTCTGGATCCGACCGACAAAAAGAAGAGCGTGCCCAGGAAAGATGCTAGCATCCAAGTGGCCATCCTCGGAACTGGGGGGGGAACTGCGGAGTGTTTGAGGTTCTTGGGTGGAGAACAGCTGAGTTTTTCTCTCTTTTTTTGCAGGGAAAAGAGGAGCCATTGGGTACAAAAAAAAATGTCATAGGGTGCTGCATTTGATCCGTATATATACATATAGTCTGTTTAAGATGATTGTTTCGGCATTCAAGGCTGGGTGTGGTGTGGTCTTGTAGATTGCCATGGAATGCAGATTTCCTATCCAGTGAAAAGCGCTGTGAAACACGAGTGAGTCGATCGTCCAATATACTAGGGTGTAGATGAGCTTCACTCAGTTTTTGAGTGCCAAGAGACTACATTGACCACGAGAACGTTGCCCAGTTGCCCTGATTGTTCACCAGCTTTGTCAGTAGCTTTGTTTTGAGGATTCTATCGGACATATGGAAACCGATACTGCCCAGTGCAAGAGTGGTCGATCGACCTGGGTAGAGTTCAGTCATCGAAACGCCCAGCTTGTTTCTGAGCTAACGTTTGTGTCAGATCTGCTTTACGTTTGAAGATCTAACACATGTTTAACTTGCTTCAGCCAGAAAGAAGAGTATGCCGTGAACGCTTTACCTTGCAGTTGTATAAAATGCTATATATGCTATTACTATATTTTAGAAGCATGTTTTGGGTTTTGCGCGGAAGAACTTTATGGCAGGTGTGGTACAGTCCATTTCAACCCTGTTTCAAACCTACCAGCTGCTTCCAAGGTGTCACCAACGGGACCCTACAGCTACTGACTGTTTAGGTATCCATTTAGATATCCCTTGGAAGTGCTAGGTACACCACCTGATGTCTTGATACCACCTGATCACCCAGAAACCACCCAGTTCGTTCGTGATACACATGGGATTTTTTCTCAGCTCCACGTCTGCCTGACCCTCTGACCGGTCCGACCGTCCGATGCGATGTTTTGGGGCAACTCTGAGGGCTTTAGCGGCTCATGTCTTGAGATGCAAACGGCAAGCCCGTGGGCCAGATCTTGAATGATTCGCAGAAAAAATTGATTGCGCCTCTACCGGAAGAGAGCTGACAAGAACATCCGAGACCGTTTCTAGTGGCACGCCAGAGATTTATTTGCACTGAATCCTCACCTAGATTCCTCACCTAGATTCCTACAACGAAGAGCTCACCTTTGTCCTCTCATGCTTTCCCCATGGCTGCTGTGCTTGCCAAGAAGAGCTTCTCCAGCTTGCCGGAGGACTCTTGGAGTTGCCTGCCCACCCAATATGTGGGGGCAGTTTCTCCTTGGGGTTGAAAGGGGAGATCTCCTTCCAGGGCTCTTTCGGGCCCCTTGGTTTGGCCGACTCGGAGGGCGGACGCGGTTGGGTGGTCGGCAGGGTGCATCGTTTGGGCGTTTGGATCAAAACACCTCGGACAGCGAGCCGACAGACCAGCTCTTTTTTGGGTGAGCTTGATGGACCTCACAGTGAAGATCAAACCGCAGGAGGTGCAAGAGCAGATCCGAGAAAAGCAACGACAGGCTGGGAGAGGAGCCTTTGCGATGATCATGATCCAAAGGGCGTCTCAAAAAGAAAGGTGACTAGGGGACGTCTTAGCAAGATGAATGGCAATGGGATCTGGATCTGTCTGATCTGTCTCAACCGGTCAGTGTTTTCTTATTTTTTGTTTGATCTACTCCGGGTGCCTTGAGAAGCAAAGACGTTGCCAATGGGGGGTCTGGGTAGGGTTGACTGTGGATGATCTTTCCACCCCCCCGTCTCCGGAATGGTTTAGATCTTGCAAGATCCAGTTGATGAGCCCCTTGCGCCAAAGCCATCTGGCTTGGTCGGATACTGTAGGTGAAGGACTTGCAGCTCCAACATAGTGAGCTCGGTCTCCTGATGAACGTCCGTGGCATTGGTGCGGTCAAGACTCGTGAGTCCTGGTCATTCGGGTTTCAAAAAGAGGGACTTTAGCATACCATCCTTAGAGGGAGGAGGTGGGGGATGAGTGTCTTAGCTTTGCATGTGACAGGATCACTTTTTCTTGAGGCATCAAGCGTACAACATAACATGATACTATGTGTGTGCGCGCCCATGTGCAGTTTCTTTTTTTGTGTGTGCCACGCATGGTCAAAGAAGAACACAATTTGATCCCCCATTCTTTCAACGCAGAGAAAATGAAACTGGTTTGAGGCATACTTGTCCCACTTGTGGGCATGCAGAAGTATTATGTCACTTAGTGGGAAAACAGCTTTTACCTCTTGGCTTATATAGGACATCTTAAAGTGTCTCTCAAAGAACTCTCCATTTGCTCAACCAATCCTCGCAACTCACTTGTCAGGCACAAGCAAAGAAGAAGGCGGTGCGTGTCGTTTTCTGCGAAGACAGCGGTGCGTTCGGTTTTGGCACAGATGGCCAGGCCGTTCCTTGCTGAGTACAGGTAGAAGCACCAGTACGCCCACCCCAAGTCCTGTCCCCAACCTCCCAAAGCCTTCCGAACTGTTTCTGACACATTGATTCAAATCTCTTTTTCTTTGGAAATAAGGGGTGAAGGACTCACATCGCTTTCCCGTGCCGTGGGCACTGCCCGCTCTTTCGCCTGCGAGGCGAAGAAATCCTCGTTGGAGCCTCGGGAACCGGCCAGAAAAGAGGAGAGCCTTGCCCACTGTTCACTCTTCACAATTCAAAGGCGTGAGACACTGTTGAGTTTTGTGGTGTGTATACGAGTGTTTCTCCTCTCCAACCTGCCAAAGTCACATTAGAGGCAGACAATTTGGCGGTGCCCCTCCGGAATCCAAACACTTGCACCTAAGCCTGGAATCAGGTCATGGCAGAGAACAAGGTTGGTGAACAGGTAGCCCTCCCTCCAACATCCAGAAATCGAGTTCTCATTCCTATTTGGGTGATGTCGAACGCCTATCTCTTCTCTGATTTTCCTGCTCAGCCAGTCTGTTGTCCTAGGCATGGACCCGAGGCGCCAGCGCAGCCGATTGAGGTGGAGAGGACTGAGAAAACCCTGAAAAAGCAACAGCAAAGACTTCCAGGTAGGGGATGGAGAGCCCCAGGAAGACTTTTCTGGGGTCAGAAGGAACCATCCATGACATTGACATGGACATATCCGCTGCTGACCATTTTTCCATTGGTTTGGGCTCCCTCTTTTGGGGGGAGGTTTAGTGTTCCCAAATGGATTTTGTCCGCACTTGCAAAAGACTTTGCTGTTCATGTTCGAGGCTTTAATCCACAAGCATCTTCTTTCATGAAGCAATCACACAATATTTTTGCGACTGTCAATCTTGGCGGAATCCTTGTTCTCCAGGACGCCTGAGAGAACTCACCTCACGATGGAGGAGAGTGGGATGATGGGGACGCTCGTGGGCTGGGCTGTGGAAAGACTTGTCATCACTGCTGTGCTGGAGGCCCCCAAATTGACGGGATCGGGATAGACAGGAAAGAGTGAGAATCTGCACTTCGAACCAATCATGATCTGATGGATGGGCCTTTGGGAAAGAGTGAGATCCTTTGGCAGAGGAGACCTTTCTGACCTCTAGGAGGCTGGACAACCCACTGGAGTGCAACATACCGAACGAAGATTTGTCCAAAGGCCACTGCGCAAGGTCCAAGGCGCCGCTTTTCACCGGACGGTGCGGCCTTTTCGCTCGCGTTCGCCTCCTGCTTCGCGAAACTCTCGTGTCATCCCCTCAGGGAGGGGACCCACTGCCGGAGGGAGAACCTGGTGAAGCACTCATGCGTGGCAGGAGTACTTTGGCGCCTGCCGCGCGGGGGTCTTCCAACAGCAAGGCTTCCGGGCTTCGGAGGAGATGGTCGAGCACCTCCTCAGCTGCCTGGAGAAAGGGATGGGAGAAAGTGACGGTCCAGCGGATTGAAGACAAAACCGGCGAACAGATGAGAAAAGTGCTTTTCCATCCTTTTGGCTGCAAACAAACTGGCAAACGATGAGAAGGGATAAACACGTCGTCCGTCTGTTTGTTTCCAAGCGTTCGGATGCTTAAAGCTCACTGAGACACATCGTGTTTCTGTGATTTTTTTCGGGGCAGAGCAAGTAGCTAGGGTGATTTTTAGTCCACTAGCTGGCAGTTGCAGACTTCAGTATCATCAAGTCTTTGTGTGGTCCGTTGTCAAAGCGAAGCCATGTCACATGACACATGGACAGTCTCGATCCCGTTCCCGGTGGCAGTCGATCGGAGTCAGCTCCAGATCCACCCTTCCTCGGCAGTGAGGTCTAGACTTCAACCAGGTGGTCGGCCGCTTCCGGGATGGGTCACCTGTGCGTTTGGCTTCCTTCAACTACTTCTTGTTGCTTGGCACTTGATATGGCTGGTGAATGTTGGGACGGGTATGGGATGGTTTGGTGGGGGTAGTATGGGACGTATCAGTAATTCCTTGGCGCTTGGTATGTCGGTATGGCTTGCGCCTCAAAGTACCTCAAAGTACCTGGAGACTCTGGAGACTCGCCCACGGTTCATAGCTGGCCAACCCTTCCACGCGCGTGCAAGGCGCGCGTCGCGCACCGCGACGCACAGACGGATGCACTGAGGTTTGATGGCTCGGACCAACAAATCTGGGCCTGGAGCCCAAGTGGTCCGATTTGGGGTAGCATCTGGCAGGGCCGCACGCACGCGAGTCACTCTAGTCCTCAATTTGGGGAGCCAATAGTCAGAGTACCTTATGAATCCTTATGATTAGTAGAAGATACAAACGGTGTTTTAAATTGTGTTGGTTTGGACACTAAGCGGATTCCGATAACTCTCATTTGTAGCCCCTGACCAACTTTTTTTCCTTTATTTTTTTCTCTCTCTCTCTCTCTCTTTGTGTCTCGCAAAGGTTTTCTCCAAGATTGAATCCTTCCATGCAGAAACAGTACTTTAACTAATCAACCAGATTCAAGACTGAAACAGTACTGTTTCAAGACTAATCAACCAGAATGATTCAGACTAGTCTTGATCAAGACGCCCATTCCCAGAATTCAACGGGATCCACGGGACGGACTTTGGCCCTGATGGAATGAAGATCCAGTCCTACTCAACGGGGGATTTCATGTGTAACTGGGGTCATCACCAGCAACTCTGAATCCTTGGGCCATGAGCAAGCCGAGACCATAGAGCTGTTTTTCAATTGAAAAGACCTATTTATAGGAACCTTCAACAATTCGAACACTTATCGGATCTTTTCATGAAACAAGCACCAGACAGCCCGACCCCCAGCACCTGCACGCTTGCTTTCGATGCTCGAAGAACGGCGCCTTCTCCAGGATCCGATCTTCCTGGCACGCCTGGCCTACGAGGGCTTCTTCACCATCACCACCGGCAGGCACCGGTCGACCGTTTCGCACCCGTCGACCGTCCCGCGCGTTTCCACCCCGCGGGAGGGGTCGAGATCGGAAGCCCTTGCCGGAGCTGCAGCCCTACTATGGTGTGCTCCTTGGATCGAACGGCTGAGCACGGCAGGCTGAGCACCTGTCAGGCCCATGGCACCATGGATCGGCCAGCTGGAAAAGCGCGGGGGTCTTTCGATCGGCCAGGGGCCACGGTGCGGCGCCATGTTGTGGTGTTTTTCTGCCTTCACACTTTGCTGCAGTGGTTCCGAACCAGCTCAAAATTCAGCTCAACTGTTCACTGTTTTGGCAAAGGCCAGAGAATCTGTAAAGATTGGTTTCCAAGACCGGCACGCCTGGTTTGCTGTCACGTTGTATTCGTGATGTGAGCTCTACAGCTTCAACTCCAGTCTCAGTACCCCGCTTAATGTGGAATCTTTATTACCCTCCCCGTTATGGTTTTACAAGCGAAAGGGGGGGGTTCTATGCATCAAAATTCTCATGGGCCCCTACTCAGCCCTACTTCTTCCATCTCAGGTTGGACTGGAAAAAACTTCTCCCTCTCGAAGCCAGTGAAGAAGGCTCTGAAGCGGGCGAAGACCAGGTCCGAAGACGTGCCCTCTGTTGGCGTGCGGTGCCCGGGCTGAGCAGACGGAGATGGTTTTCATGGCAGGGTGGGCAGGGTGTGAGACGGTTCAGTGATGCATCAACAGCCTCTTGCACATCTGTGTTCATTTGGGTGTTTCTGAGAATTCGGAGCCATGAGGGGGTACCCTTGAAGCCCTTCAGCTTGGTTTGCTTCCCAACTTGCAACTCTCGTGTGCGTCGGTCCAACCTTCGGTAGGAGAGGGCCACCGGTGCTTCTGGTCGTTCCAACGGAGCGCCAGAACAGCAGACGGCGGACGACACATAAGAACCCGTCCCAATCAACCCATTCTTAGAGATCTCAGAGGAAACATCAATCTTGCAAAGTTTGACCTCAAGAGATTGCAGTATATATTATCTAATATATGTAGATATATGAGTGTTTCCATGCGCTGTGGCCAGTGGGGCCATAGGCAATGGCATGTTGAACATATTGTCAGAAGCTCATGTGTTCGAGGTTGGTTAGTCTGGAGGCAGCTCCCAATCATTGATCTCTGGCATGACTGATCCGCAAGACAGACCTTTGCCCAGGTACTACCTCTATTGCAACCGAAACTTTCAGCTGACGTACCAGGGTATCAATGAGTACCACAAGGACCCTGGAGACATGATGTGTGCCGTAGTCTTGCATGAGCCTCTTCCGTCTTGCACATTCTTCTCATTCCTTGCCATGCTGCGACACACGTATGTAACAAGTGCAAAAGGCAGCCTTTGAACACTGCACTGCCCCAGTCTTGCATTCCTTTGCGTCTTTTCCTGCCGCTGGGCTAGACACGACGCGAGCTGGCTCGTGCATGGGGTAAGGCACGAGGTAGTGCACAATCCCCAACAAAGGCAAAGGCGCTTCAAACATGAACCCCCATCTCGAAGGGGTGAGTTTGGTGGGTTGTGCCAGTATCTTCTCTGAAACCACTGTACAATACTGTATATCTTGATCACCACAGGCCGAAGTCTCCCAGCGGCCCCAGTACACAACAACGTGCGTGCGTCGTCGTGCGTCGCGAAAAAACGCGCTGGTGCTCGACGTCGCTGGTTCGAGGATCAGCATGGAGAGAACTGGATGACGTGGAAGTACTTGGAAGCCTTCAAGCGGGCCAGTTCCAGCCTTAATGGGTCGCTCCAGCCTTCGCTTTGTTTGATTGGTGGGAGACCCAAATTTGTCTGGTCTTGCTTGGGGTCCATGGGAGATTGGTTTGATGAAGCCGTTCTCGAGGACACAAAGCTAATGAATGAGGTTCGGTCAGGATACGGTCACAAGTTCCAGTGTTTGACCGTGAGGGCATTTTATGCCATACAAGACTCATTTATCCCGCATCGCTTGCAGAAGTCACAGAATAATATGAGCTACCCTCCGACGAACACATCACATGGAAGTGGATGGCACCCTGTTCGTAAAGGAAATTAGTCTTTCAAGGGATCGTCTTCACTTCCATGTTAGTGAGTCAGAGTGTAGCTCATCTTCATCTTGTGCATATCACTTCATTTCTGCTGGATGTGTTCGAAGGAGCTAACGTCAGAGCGAATTGTGCTGCACGGAACAGAAGACGATTTAGAAACTGGCTCCGATTCAGAAACTCCGATTCAGAAACTTGCGATTCTGAAACTACAGAGTGACCCGATTCAGAAACTAGCCGATTCAGAAAATGGCCGATTCAGAAACTATCCGATTCAGGAACTGGGTGATGGGGTGGGTGGGTGGGGGGGTGGGGTGGGGATCTAATGAAATGTTTGTGATGTAGCGTGGACATATTCGTATTTCACAGACCTGATTCAGAAACTATCCAATTCAGACCCGTTCTAGTCTCTGAATCCTAGTTTCCGAATCCGCTCCTTCAATTTTCCGAATCCTAGTTTCCGAATCTGCCATTCTAGTTTCCGAATCCTAGTTTCCGAATCCGCGCCGTGCATATTTTCCGAATCCGTGGCCACCCTAGTTTCCGAATCCACGGTTCTAGTTTCCGAATCCGCCGTTGAAGGTGCTGCACGGATGTCTGCGAGCATGCCAAACCATTGCTTGCTAGTCCAGGCTTCTAGTTACTAGAAGCGTGGACTAGCAAGCAATGGTAGCTCGTCACTTCTTAGGGTTGGTTGAGATGCCATCGGCCATCATGGTGAAATTTAGGTTTTGTTTTTCCTTTTGGAACGGCTGTACAAAGCCTTCCCCATAATTGTCCATCTGCTTTAAGGGGATGTGAGTGAGCTTCTTTGAACATACCTTGACCAAGTCTGCTTTGGCTTGTTGTTGGATTGTTGCCTCAGGTGATAATCCGACCATCAACTTTCATCTTCATTCCATCGACCCTTGGTCAGTGCCGGCTGTGGGTGTTATATAGATGTCTTTGGACACCGCTATGTGGATTGTAGGCATAAGAAGATATAAGGATGATCACCCTTGGCGGAGTATAAACGGATGCATTTTGCAGAAGATCTTTGGGCCTTTTGAATGCTTTTGAGTTTTTAATGCTCAAATCCCCGAGGAAACCGTGGGTTAAACGCCAGTCCTTTCACTCACTGGTCTTTTCACTCGCTGCATCTGACGAGGGTGTTCGGCATCTGCTCTACGAGCGGTCGGTCTTCGACCTGGGTTCGATTTGAGGTCAGAAAGGTGGGGAATCAGGAAGACCACAAAGTAGTCGCCAAGCAGCGATCATGCCGTGGGTTGGTCTCCTAAAATCAAGGCATTTTTGTTGTAGGAAAGTTGCGTCTTGGGAATGTGTCACGCTTATACAAGATGCTGGGGTTTGCTGTGTCAGAGGATGCTCTCGTCTGCCAAGACATTTTGGAGGGTTTGACCTCCGAGACATCGGCGTTGCATCGGCGTCGAGCTTTCCGGTAGTTATGGAGGAGATGAAATGCTACGCAGACCGCCAAAATATGTGGTGACGAGTGGCAGAAAAGCAGCCTCCAGTTGACTGGACCGAGTCAATGGTGATCTTTGTTGGTCTGAAATCATTCAGGGCATCTTGTCCCAAAAATCCGCATGAGCCTCCACATGACGTTGGACGTGACACCGTGTGACGTAGACGGGAGGACCGACCCGTCTTCCGACCCGTGGTTTTTTTCAAAGGAGCTCTACGATGGCCCTTTGCCCGAGAACGGAGATGCGGCTTCTGCTCCTTGGTCGGTTTCGCAACGTTTAGCCGAATGAAGACCTGATGGCCCTTTAGCAGATCGAGACGTTGGCCAAGACATTTTTAGGGGTGTCGTTTTATGAGGATTGGACAACATCTGATGTTTGGGTTGGCAACAACCCTGATTGGTTCAGAATGGAAAGACGGGGGGGCTCGAACTTGAACCATCCCCAGGAGGTCCCTCTAGCCAGAGGTTTTGTACATCAGTCATATATATATATATAAAATACTATACTGTTGGTGATTACACCCCTGAAATAAGTGATCAATGAGCCTCATCGCCAAAGTCGGGATTTAGATGGATTTACATGAAGGATGTGAAGAAAGTGATGATGAATTGTGCTGCATCATATGTGTTGGGTCCCAACTGACCAACTACAAACTACAGACTTCCAAACACTGGTCTCCTTAGTTTTTGTCATTCCGTTCATTTGCTAAGCTTGGAAGATCCCGGATGATCCCATGCCATTTCTTTTTGGCGTCGCGGACAGGGCACCACCCCGAAAGCACCAGTGCCACCGGCGCCACCGCCTCTTCCCCGCCACCGGCGCCCGGGTCTTCCACGGTTTTCTCCCTCCATCCGGTCGTGGGACATGGCGAGCCGGTGGGCTATGCCATGATCAACTGCTGCGTGACCTAGGTGGCTTTGGACTTCTCGTAGGTTAGGGTGTACACTCCCTGAAATCATTTTGTGGTGACTTGGATGAACCAATGGTGGTGCCATCCACTTCCGCATGTTGATAGCTGCCTTTGGTATATGGTGGGCGAGGGTGGAGGCCTTGTTTCTAATGGAGCCCTTTTGGAGAAACCACCATCCATTGGGCCCACTTACCATCCATTGGGCCCACTTACCATCCATTGGGCCCACTTTGGGCATAGCTCTGGTGCTAGGCACCCAAGCTGGTGGCTGGCGAGATAGGGCGCCTTGGATGATTCGGCGTCGGATATGATCCTCGAATGATGGAGCGTCAAAACGTCTCACGCAGTTCGTGGAGTCCACTGACTTGAGGGCCCCCCACAACTGGGGATGGAACTGCGTCCAGATTCTGTTTTTGCTCAATTCTGGGTCCATGCTTGCTCAGAGAGTGCCTGAAGATTGGGGTATATCAACATATATATATATATATATACACATGTTTTGTATTTTTTTGTCCAAGGATGGACCAAAAGTCAGTTGCATCTACCCCAAAGACAGTTGATGCCAGTCTTGGGCGTTTGTTTCAGATGATTGTGCCATATAAAGCGGAAGGGCTTGAGTGGTATGTGGAGGGTGAGTGTCTTTATGTTTCAGTTTTGTGTCCCAGGGGTCGAACCGGGGGTCTGCAGACTTGGACGGCATAGATTTGATGACCCACAGGTCCATCAGGCCCGGGTGCCTGTTGACCTGAATTTGCGATCATCATAGTCATCCTGGAGTAGATAAAAGAGGATAAAACGTTTTGTGCAAGAGATCCAACACAACGGATAACTTTCCGTATCTTTTGGACGGCCCCAACTACTTCATATCTCAATGCTCTTTGTGGTGTCACATCTTTTCACACCCCCAACGCACATCGAACGCACATCGCACGTGAAACGATCCACACATCCGCACCGAAACGATCGTCTGCGGTATCCCATGACAGGTACAGCATTGGCAAGATTTACACGAGCTTGTCGGGCTTTAACCTCCGTGGTGAAGATGGTGTGGGCTGGCCACTCGGATGACACCCAAAGCATGGGATGGCTGGCATGGGATCTGTGCTATGTTGAAGACTGCGATGGTGTGGGCTGGCCATTGATCCTCACCAGCCGATTTTTGAAGTGATGAATGAGACCCGGCACATTTGCCTCCTGCAGGGACAGTTGGACCTCATTGGGACAGTTGGATCATACAAGAACACGACTCAGATTCAGGTGTATGAAGGAGCATTTTTGAACCTGGGTGAGACTGGACACTGCTGGAGTCAAAACCATGGGTCTCTCTGGTCACTGACAGAGAGCCAGACGCTTCGACCCTGCTCCGAATCCATGGGGACCTGTGGATGGGATGGGATGGCCCCCCCGCAAATACGGAGGACCATTGTCCATCCGAAGACCTGGTGCGAGTGGTTTTCCGCACGTCTCGTGTCCCGAAAGACGAGACCGCGGGTCACCCGGACTGGGCGGCGCGTCGGTGTTCGACCGGTGTGTTCGACCGTTTGGGGTGGCAGATGGAGAAAACACCGACCCTGATCGGACCTTCCGGAAGCATTTCACCGATCGGACCGATCTTCCAGCCGTCACGGCGCCAGAGTTTTCCGCACGTCCACGGCACATCAACCATTCCGCGCATTTTGGACAACGCCCTAACGCTGCAGCTTTGGGGGTCACAAACGCGGAAGGCACCATTGCACGTATTCTTACCTGCGGGAGGCAGAGCCAAAATTTGAATGAAACAAGAACGCCTAGGTAACGGGCAAAAACACCCAAGCAAAAAAATCAGTTAAAACAATGAATCAACGCATAGAAACACTAAAACAACATGCAAGTGAAGCATCAAGGACTTCATTCCTGATATACAAAGGACTTTCACTACCGTGGAAATTTCTGGAACCAGTGGTGGGGTTGATCCTTATTGCCACCACAAGGACCAGAACGCCCATACCGGGGGACAAGAACGCCAGAGCGCACGGACAAAGGCGCCTCTACCCATACTGTAATAGGCATCAATGTCTGCCCAAGAAGAATTTCTAGATATAAATGTACTTCGGATGGTCCCATGTTCTGTCTACTTGAGGATGGCTACATGTGCAAGCCTCTCCCTCGATTCTTGTATTGCTACCTGGGCCCACACGAGAACCACTTGAACCTCTCTTTTTTCGCGCTCTGAGGATTCAGCTCTCATGCCTGGGGAAGTGGTTGGAACAAAAGAACTATTCCTTCTGGACTGAACATTTGGCCGCTGGACGGACCTGGCGAACATTAGAGACGGACCTGGCTGGCCGGACGTATCTTTTTGTGATCTCAGGTGTTCGGGAATGCATTTTGAGGAGGAACCCCTATTTTTCCGTTTTTTTTTTCAGGTTTTTTTCCGGGATTTTTTTTTGTGTTTTTTTCCCTACTGCTTTTGCTTTTTGTTTTTGCTTTTGCTTTTGCTTTTTGCTTCTGCTTTTGCTTTTGCTTCTGCTTTTGCTGTTTGCTTTTGGCCTTTGCTTCTGCATTTGCTTTTGCTTTTTGCTTTTGCTTCTGCTTTTGCTTTTTGCTTCTGCCTTTGCTTTTGCTTCTGCTTTTGCTTCTGCTGACTATTTTCTTTGCATTGACACTGCCACAAAGTTGGATGATAAGACCTTCACCTTGAGCTTTGACACCCAATTACACCAATCAAGAAACGAAGCAGCCCAGCGCTGTCTATATTTGATTTGCATTGCGGGGGCGGCGGTGCGCCCTCCCCCGCACCCCCTCCCATTTCTTTTTTTAAATAGTTGCCACTACCGTCCACCACCCCTACTATTTCCAATACCTCCATCACTCGGACCACCCCGCTACGAGTCCTACCACAGTTACCACAACTACTATTTTCTTTGCGTTGACGCTGCCACAAAGGTGAACTTCCACTTTGCTTAGCCCAAAGAAACCCAAAGACAACCGCAGAAAAGTTCCTATTATAGTTCCTCTCTCCTCCTACTTCTCCTTCGTTAAGTGGGATGCCTTTTCCGGAAGAACGCCTAAAGAAACCCTAAAGACAATAAACCGAGCCAAAAGAAACCCGAAACCAGTGAAGCTAAAGACAACCGCAAAGAAGTCCCTAGTAAGTGGAATACCTTTTCTGTTCCGTCCCTTTGTCACTGTCACGCTGGCTTTGGTGCTTCGTCCCCTGCCCTTTTTGCTGCTCCTAGTGCTTGTAAAGCACTCCCAGCAGAAGCAAAAGCAAAAACGGTAGAGGAACAACGTGAAAAAGAATCCCGGAAAAACTATGAACCAGAATCCGGAAAAATATCAGTCCTTTGAGGATGGGACCTGTGATGAACACATGCAATGGGATTTGATCTCTTATATATATACCACATGTCAATGGCTGGACGGGTAACTGAATGTAACCAAGCGATTCGTCCAGACTTGCAAACACTGAATTGACAAATCAAGAACAGGACATCAAATGTTGCTTTCAGTTTTGGGCGGAGCCTACTCTGCCAGCATTGTAAATGTGTTCTCCCAAGGGGATAGCATGCCTGATTTGTGGTTCCACCGGAGCTTTTGAAGTCAGGGCTGCCTGGCCTCTCCCACCAGACCTCCTCGTGAGGTAGGTGGGGAGAGGTCAGGTGGTTAAAAAGCGTGTATTGGTGGTCCACTTCTTGGCCTCAGCACTCCCCGTGGAGTGAGAGGCCGAGGAGTGGCCAAGCTTGGCCTCTGGGGACCCCAGGCTCCCTCGTGGGAGTTGGGGGACCCAGAGGCTTCTGAGGGTTGAGGGGTGTGAGAAGGCCACTTGTTAAGGTTACGAGACTCTCGCCCTCTTTACTCGGGAGGGGACCCTGAGGGTCCTATCCCTCCTGGGCAGGAGCCCGGAGGACCTGAGAAAGAGGGAGGAAGAGAGAGAGGTAGAGTGAAAAGAAAAAGATGGAGAATCAGAAGTTGATTTTTCAGGAAAGGTGGAACGTTGGAAGATAGGAATGAGACGTTACAAAGTGGCCTTCTGCCCCACCAGAGGATTTGGGTTAACGCCAAGGATCACGATGACATCTTGAGTTATGCTGAGTCGATCCTGGGAAAAGGTTACGTGATGGAATATGAATGTCATGATTGGAATGGACGAGCCCAGGGTAAAGCATGCCTACGAGTTGAAGATTGGAGTGATGCTGGCAGAGGATTTTTGGTTGGAGACCATTTGATTGCGAGTGATGGATACTATGAGTGGTATGGCCAGCACTACCTGACGGATGGAAAGGGACTGTACCATTTGTGCGGTGGTGGTCGATCGAAGTGTATGGTGAAGTTGTCGCGAGGAGATGGAAGAGAATTGGTGCATATCAGCCGATGGAGGTTGGTCAATGCGTTGATGATGCATGACATGGAGTACTCCAAGAAGCGTGCTTTGGAAGGCATTGTGAGCTTTATAGATGCCTGGTCACCCCGAAAGCCTTTCCAGCGGAGTCCAACCCCGATGAGAGTGAAGGAGACAGGGAGAGCTTGAAAAGTGTAGAGCTTGGAGCTGGAGTTGAAGAGAGTTTGGCAATATTGCAGCGATGTCTAAAGGATGAAGAACGTGGAGGTTTGAGCATTTCACAAACAGGAGGACTTTTGGCGTTGGTGTGCATGCGAAGTGGCACGAACTTGGGCGAGTATCTCAAACGGTCCATCAAGCCGGGGTCTGACGACGGCAATAGGGGAAGACAACGGGAGGTTCTTCCGCTGCCGCTTTGGACCGATGGGAAGGAACAACTCAGAAGCCTCTTCGAGTCTGGGGACTTTCGGAAGTTTGGAGGCGCAGACAAGAAGGCCTTTCGACATGCACGGCGAGCAGGTCTGCTCATCTGGCATTGCTTGACTGTGGTTCTACTGAATTTTCTGTGGACAGGAGGGGGAAAACAGGCCAAGGTCCACCAGGGAACCACTAGTGTCAGTCAAGCAAGGGCTTTGGATCGAATATGGGAGATTTTGAAGGCTTCCGTTGATGATAGCTGTGAGACTAAGTCGAAGGTGCCCTGTTCCCCAGAGATGGGAGAGTGGGGGCGAGAAGTTGGTGATGTCAGGATTTCATACCAAGGTGAGATAGTGGAGAAAGGGCAGTGATTGACTTTGGATCTGGTTCTACCAGGCTTACCACCTGAAGGATATGGAGCAAGTGTTCGCCTGGTCGAATTGTGTGAAGGAGAGTTGAAGGAGAAGCTGCTGAATCCCCTGAGCAACTTATTGCCGGCGGAGGAGATGTCTCTGGAGATACCAAGGCCCCAGATTCATGCCTGCCGGGAAGAATGGGAGAAGATCGCAGGGGAGATGTACAAGCGGGGCCTGGTGAAGACTGTCGAGGCGCCAGTGTTGGTCAGAGGTAGGTTCCTCGTAAACGGCAGCTTTGGAGTTGCAAAGCCCGGAAAGTACCTTGATGATGAACGTCCAATCCTGAGATTGATCATGGACTTTCGAGGAACGAATGCAGCGACCCGAGTACTCGAAGGAGATGTCAGAAGCTTGACGGGGGCCCCGGCGCTGCAACATGTGGTTCTCCCAGCCGGCAAGGTATAGTGTGGTTGAGTGCGGATGATCTAGTGTCGGCTTTCTACTTGTTTGCTCTCCCACCAGGATGGCCTGAGATGATGACGTTTGCAGAGAAAGTGAGCTGGCGCAGCCTAGGTGTAGAGCGAGAGGGAGACACCTATATAGGTGCAGCAGTGCTCCCGATGGGGTGGGCTTAGGCAGTAGGAGTGCTGCAACATTCCCACCGGAGATTGGCTCTTCGATCACCTTTGCAAGGCGGAGGAGGTCTCCTGGGAAAGGGTGAGATACGGGGAGATAGCGTTTTTCCGAACCTGGAGGAGGAAGAGAAGTTATGGTCCTTGTATTATTTGGATGACACCAGCCTTTACGAGATCATGGAGGCTCGTGTGGCAGAGGACCTGGAAGCAAAGAGCTCAGAGGGGCAGGATGCGTTGAGGCAAGCTTATGCTCATGGGGGAGTGCCTTACTCCAAGGAAAAGAGCTTGCAGAGAGCACGGAGGGCTGAAAAGCTGGGAGCTGTGGCGAGGAACCCTCCAAGGAGCGATGAAGAGAGCGCTAGATGCCTGTCGCTGAGTTTTTGGCTGCTGAGACAAGACAAAGTGCCCCGAAAAGGACTGCAAGTGTTGCTGGGACAAGAGGTGCACACGCTGCAGTTTCGCAGGCCGCTGTTTGGGGTCTTTGACTACATCTGGAAGGACATCTCGGATGGGGAGGTCCTGATCCAACTCG